AGCAGCAGAAAATGAAAAATTTATCAGTTAGAACTAACAGCAGAGTAGACAGCGAACAAAAGGTCAGTGAACTTTAAGATATAACAAAAGAAGAAAGCTATCCAAAATGGTATAGAGAAGAAAAATAAGATGGAAAAAAATTGAACGAAGCATCAGTCTTGCGTGAAATCTTATCAAGAAGTTTAACATTTATGTAATTGGAGCCCCAGAAAAAAAGAGAGAAGCAAAAAAAGCTTTGAAGAAATGGGGCCAAAATTTTTCCAAATTTTACAAAAACTATAAACCAACAGATTCAAGAATCTCAACAAACGCAAGTAGAATAAAAAAAAAAACTATACCCTCGCACATCATAATCAAATAGCTGAAAACCAGCAAAACGGAGAAAATCTTAAAAGTAGTGAGGGGGGAGAATGGCAAATCACGTACAGAAGAAAAAAAGATAAAAAGTATAGCAGATTTGCCATCAGATAATATGTGAGTCAGAAGACTATGAAGAAATATCTTTGAAGTACTAAAATTAAAAACAAAAACAAAAAAACTGTTGACCTAAAATTCTACACCCAGTGAAAATATCCCTCAAAATTGAAGATGAAAGAAATATTTAAAAATACCAAAGCACAGGCTCCATTAACTGACCAGAATGAAATAAAATTTTATAATTATTTTATAGACAATAATGAGCTCAAAATATACAAAACATACTTTCTCAACTTTCATAATAATTCTTAAGTCAAGAGGAATTCAAAAATTTCATTTTGTAAATGTTCCTTTAGCCCAATAAGTCTTTCTCTGTAAATTTTCCTAAGGAAATAAGCCGATAAGTAACTTTGTACCTAACCATGTATATACAAAGTTATTTACTGCAGCATTGCTTATATTAATAAAAACTGAAAATACCCTATTTTTTGGCCATATTTATTAAGTATATCATTGTTTAGATAGAGAAGCATAATAGTTAAGATTATGGGTATGAAAGTCCAATAGACCTGAATGAATCACAGCTCTGACACTTCAAAGTTTAGGCAAGTTACTTAATCTCTCTAAATGTCAGTTTCCTCACTTATAAATGGAAAGAAAATAATGTATGTGAAGAGCATTATATTGCCTGACATGTGATGAGAGTTTTATAGCTAAAATGATGATGATGATGATGACTATGAACAATGAGAACAATGGCAACAAAAATTAGGACCAAAGCATAAAACATAATTATTTAACAATAATTAAAATGATGGTATATATTTATATGTGTAAAATATGTAAAGATAGTAATACATTGTTATATGAAAAGTACATTATAAAACAACATGTAGAGTGTAAGCCCATTTTTGTCAAAAATACAGTAAGCATGTATTACTTTTATAAGGATAAAAATGGAATATTCATTAAAAATATAGTTTTAACTTATCCTGTAAGTTAAAAATTTTTAATCTCATTTTCTCTTTGTCACTATTAAAAATATTACATAGTTATAAGAATTAAATTATGTAATATTTTTTACTAGTGACAAAAGAATGTATTAATATAACCAAGAAGAATTCATAGCCTCAAAAGTTTATTAATAAATAATAGCAAATAAAAATACTCTAAGCAGTCATCAACACACTAGAAAAAAGAAAGTGAAGAAATGCAATAGAAAAATTGTTTAAACTAAAGCAAAAAATAATATTTAGCGGAGTAAAATTTATTTCTAAAGAGCCTGCTTTTAAAAAAACTAATAAAATATACAAAGTTCTAGAAAAACTAATCAAGGGGAAAGGGAGTTGGAAAAGAAAAATTAAACATTCTGGGTATAGACCTGTATTTTAGAGTAAGCACGTGATTCTGATAGATGAGGGAACATTTACTACAGAAGAATTCCAGCTTATTAACATCAAAAGAATGACAGAATTACAAATTGCCATTTTGCAACAGCCCCCCACCCAAGGAAACAATTGTTTCGGGAAGTGATAAACAATGAATGAAACCACTAGATTAAAGATTGATGGAGAAATTTATACCGAAAAAAGTAGGCTACTGCCATCTGAACCCACTGATCAATCTAAGCATCACTAAAAGTGAGACAACTAAACATTATTTGTCAACAGTGATGCATTTTTTCCCCAAACATGTTGACTATATACCTAAGTAAAGCTCTATAGCTAACTTTTAGTTAAGAAAATGCAGAGAACAGAGAACATGTTAAATGACACCACAAAGAAACAGACACAATGTGGGACACTCTACAGGAAAAGAGTTCCAGATTCTGCACAAGTCAATGCCAGCAGGGAGACAGAAAGAAAACAGCAGTGGTCAGAACTACCAGAGACATGAGAGAAAAATCAAACATGATGTGCAGAGCTGGTTTAAATGCAAATTTGAAGAAATCAACTCTAAAGAAGCACTTTTAGATAGATGAGGAAATCTTACTATCAAAGTTTTATCTAATACCGATTAAAAATTGTTATTTATGTTAGTATCATATGGTATTGTGCTTTTATAAGAAGATGCCCATAATTTTGAGATTTGTGTGAAATAAGGGTAAAAATGACACATATTTTAGAATTTGCTGCAAAATACTTTATCAAAAAAAAGAGATAAAAGTGGCACATTCTTAAGAAACATTGAATCTGCTTTCTATGTGCAATTTTTGTAACAATTTTTTAATAATATAAGACAGGGTAAAACAGCTGAACAGACCAAAAATTTAAAGAAACTGGTGACATTACCAAAGAACTACTTTTCAAAAGAACCTAGACATTCAAGTATAGTAGGGAAAGGACAGTCTTTTCAACAAATTGTGCTGGGTCAGTTAGATATCCAAAAAAAAAAACACCCTTTACTCCTAACTCATACCATGTACAAAACTGAAGCCCAGATATATAGATATATATACACACACAAATGTGTACACACGTATATGTATGAAAGGTGAAACAATAAAGCTTTTAGAAGAAAATATAGGAGAATATCTCCATGACCATGGAGTAAGCAAAGATTTCCTAAACAGGATATAAAAATACTAATCATAAAAAGAAAACATTATAAATTGATTCTATTAAAATTAAGAGCTTCTTTTAATCAAAAGGTACCATTAAAACATTAAAATGTAAGTCCACAGAGTGGAAGATGACATTTATAAGAAATATTTCTAATCAATCATATGTATCAAAAGGATATAAGGTCTTTTCAACAAATGGTGCTGGGAAAACCAGATATCAACATGCAGTAGAATGAAGTTGGAGCCTTACCTAACAGAATATACAAATACTAATTCAAAATGGATCAAATACTTAAATGTAAGAGCTAAAACCATAAAACTTTTGGAAGAAAATATACAGGAAAAGCTTTATGACATTGGATTTGGCAATAATTTCTTACATATGACACCAAAGATACAGGCAACAAAAGGAAAAAATAGAAAAATTGGACTTCATCAAAATCTGCAAATATTGTGCACCAAAGAATACTATCAACAGAGAAAAAAGGCAACTCAGAATGTGAGAAAATATTTGGAAACTCAGACTGAGAAAGAAAAACCAGCCGTGCCATTTTCAGGCTGGGAGGCAGACACAGATAAAGCCAGAAAAAAAGTTAACAGGACACATGGTTTCTCCCAAGGTTGTGTAGCAGTTGCAAAACACCATAGCCCCTCTGTGAGTGACCAGCACTTTCTCACCAGTGACACCCCCACACACTCTTGCTACACTCATCTATTTCCAGTCTATTTCAATTACTAGACTGCCTTTATCTCATGCCAGAACCCAACTCCCCCCCAGTTAATCCCCATTTCTTCTAATCCTATGTCAGAAACAGCAATCAGTGCAAAATTTATCCCTGTTTTCCTAGACTCCCGTCAGAAACCTTTAGCTAGACCCTAACTTTCCAAAAGTCCTCCCTGCCTTTGTTGAGACTCACTGCCTCCCTGCAAGTCAGCAAATCTGATTTTGTCAAATTATAGGTCTGTGCCTCTGAGCCTTTGGATGATTAGCTGTAAATAGTATTTTTTTAAATAAAGGTAATGCAGTTTTTTTAACAATACTAAATTTCTTCAATGCATAAACTGTCTTTATTCTGTGATAATGCTCTCCTACCTCTTTGGTAGGAGAATCTCTTCTCCTAGAAGAGATTCATAAACTAGATTTCATAAACTAGAAGAGATTCTAGTTTATGAAATAACAGTGGTACTTTATTTTCCTAAGCAAGGATGCTAAAAATAAACAAATAGAAAACTTGGCAGTCCTACTAACAGACCACGGATGATTTGAAATTTTAATAGTTCCTGATATTTCCATGTCTGTGAACACCGTTATACAAAACAATGAGAAAAAAATAGGAAAGATGATTTTTAACAGGTATTATGACAATTCAGGGGGAAAAATGCTTTAAAACACCATCCTACGTCACTTACCAAGTGACATTCCAGGTATTTTTTTTTCTAAGCCCATATTTAAAAAATAAAACCATTGAAAAAGAAGACATAAGTAAAAATGACTATTGAAACAATAACTGATAAGCAATTTCCAAGCTTAGAAGGACAGAGAGAAATCATTTATTTTCTTTAATTTCAACTTCTGAAATGAGGACGATTCTATGACTTGCCAGGCCTTGTTCTCAATGAAACCCATATTCAAAGACAAGATTTTCTGAAATAGTGTCTCATCCTGGGACTCCTCGGTGTGGCTATGACTCCTATGGCAAGTGAGGATATGCAAGGAGGCGTGAGGCTGGCTGTCCCTAGTAGTTGACCCCCTGGGCTACAGTCACCTGTACTTGTTGCTGCCTCTGAAAGCTGGAATCTTGCATCCAGGCTATACTGATTGTTTTTAGACAGAGGCCTTTCAGAGGAGATGGAGCAGGTTCTTTCTACAAAAGATTCTCTGCATATCAAGTGGAGACCCAGAAATCCTAAAAAAACAAAGTACTAAAATGGTCAATCTCTAGACTGGTCTAATAAAGTTTCAGAGCTTGGAATTCAGACTACAAATTCTTAATTACTAGGGGGCCAGCACTCACGTGGTGAGGGTGTTGAAGCCACAGGCCTTTAACTTCAGCAAGTTGACCCTCCAGTAACTCCTGGGCACCCGGAAATAGTGCATAGTGCCTGCTACGATCAGGAATGGAAAGCCTTCGAGTGTGAAGTTTGAGCCCTCAACTTTCAGACCCACTTTGCGGATCTTTAGCTGAGAAGGGGTCAGGTGAGTTTGGTTAATCCTGCAAGGACAAAGGAGGTACATGAAGTCCTAGAGATGTTATCCATGAGACACAAGATGAGCAGGTAAGAAAAGCTTTTTCTCCAGGGGCCCCAGGCATACCTCCAACAGAAAGAAAAACCTCCCCAGTACTTCCTTCTCAAACATACCTGGGGGAGAGGTCATGCTGGAGCTGAGCCATCACTGAAAAGGCTGATAGGCACAGGATGTACTCAAGTCTCGCCAGGAAGGCCCACATGCTAAACAGACAGGACAAACTAGAGGTCAGAGAAATACTCAAGAGGGAGGGAAGAAGGTAGCTGGGAGCTGAGAGAGGCCTTGGCCTTGTGGCATGGTGGGGAGGATGGAGGTGGCCTCATTTGGAAGGCAGAATTGGTCCCTTAATTTTGTACCACCTGGAATCATGACAGACAGCATCCCAAGGCCATGTCTGCTGACTGGAGGGAGAAGAGCTGCACAGAAGAGTCTCCTGCTAAATAACCGGGTCTTCACATACCAGATACACTTCAGAGAAGATTAAGCCTCAGTCAAAGGACAGTTTTGCGACATAACAGAGAATAATCTCTGGGAAATCTGACACAGACATTCAACTGCTAAGGAATGAACTCCAATCTTCTGCTGCTTAGCAGAGAACACCGACTGTTAGGATGTAGAAGGATTTCCTCCCCAGCGGGGGTCCCAGTTATTATCTCCAACCCAGTTTCCGCTTCTCTGCTACTGTAGGGTGCCATCCCATGAATTTCCGCAATACGGCTTATCGTTTGTGTGGCCCGTGCTTGTCTTTATGCCGCTCGCCATGGGCAAAGGCTCTTTCCTTCACGTTTCAAAAATGCTCCCAGCCCACGTTGGCCTGAACGGCCAGGTCAGCAGGGTTGCAGGCACCTAGGCCGAGAGCAGCACCCTGCGCGGGGCGTGGCTGCATCCCAGCACCCAGGGCCCAAACATACTAGGGCTCGATAATATTTTTGAACAAATGCTTGAGTTGCCAGACTCACTAAAACATCTATGTCGCCCCCGTTATCTTCAGCTTTACCTTCTGCTTAAAGATTATCACCCTAGGCCGAGTTGGGACGGGTAAAAGTTTGGAAAACCACAGGAAAAATAGAATGCAGGACCGGGGACCCAACCAAAGACAGACTGGGAAAGAAGTGCGTGCACGACCTCCGCGCAGGCTTTGGGGCAGAGGCTCCGAGAGTCGTGGAGGCTGAGAGTTCGGAGCGCGCTCCAGCAGAGACGTCCAGGGAGAAGACAGAGGGACGAAGCGGAGCCTCAAGGGAACGTGAAGGAAGGACTCCGCGAGAAAGGTCCTGGACCTGAGGCGACTCCACTGAAAACCCGAGGGGGCCCGTCTCGGTCGAGCAGGCCTGGGGCTGGGAGGGAGCCCACAGCGCCGCAGGTGCTAAGGACTCCCGGGACCGCTGTGGGGGCGTCCGGGCTCAGGGGGTGCCGGGCCAGCGCCCACCTCATCCTGAGCGAAGACTCCGCCACGGACTCCGCAGCTCCGGCTCCCGGCTGCAGCCTCCGGGGAGGCTGGAGAGGGAGCCGCAGGCACCGCGCTCCGCCCCCACCCCCCGCAGCCCCGCCCCTCGGGCGCCCCCCCAGATCCGCCCCATCCCAGAAAAACCCGCCCCTACCCTCGGTCAGGACGCACCCCCCACCCCGCGCCTCCCGCCACCCCCCAGCAGACCCTTTCCTCCTGCCGCACCTTGGGCGGACCCGGCCTGGCGCTCGCGGACAAGCCGCCCACCCCGCACACCCGTCTTCCCCCGGCCCGACCCCGGCGATTGTGGCCTTCGGGATTCCAGCAGCCCCCGGACGCCTGGAGCCTCGGTGCGCCCCCCGGCCCGCGCGGGCTCGGTCGGCTTGCCTCGGCACCTCCCTCGGCCGGGCCGGGGCCAGCCAGCCAGTGCCACCGAGAGGGCCCCTTTCCTGGAGGCGGGGCGCCGGCCGGGTCCTCTCCGCCCCGCGCGGGCTCGGTTCGCAGGCCGGGCGCAGTGGCCCCGCGCTAGGGGCTGAAGTCACAGATAAGGCAAGGACTTGCCCTCCCCTCGGAGACTTGAGAGTCTAGGGGAGAAGCTTAGCAAGTCCAGCTGACCCCGAGGAGCGGGCTGGTTCCTTTCACCGGACCTGCCCTAAAACCAGTCACTTGATTAAGCCCAGGGTGGTGGTTCGCACAGTGTGGTTCCTGCGGCGCAGGTGACCCTTAGCGCAAATGGAGCAGAAATTCCCCGGCCCTCCAGGCTGACAGCAGCTGTAACTCCCGGGGAGGGAACACACACTCCGGGCGATTCTGTCGCCTGCTGAAGTTTGGGGACTAAAGTCTGCAGCGTCCCTTTCCCCAGTCCCTCGCCCCGAGCGGGTGAAGGGAGGCGTGGAAGTGGCGGGACATGTAACTTAGCCGTCTAATTTAGAAGAGAATTTAACCTCTCCAGCCCAGACACACGTGCGGTTGGGGCGTCCCTTTCAGCTTGCCAGGTGGGCAGCACCTTGCGGGCTCCCTCTCGGGTGAGAGGGCGAGCTCCGTTTAAAATTCTCACAGCCGGATTTATACATAAACCAGACTCCGAAGAAAATTAAACTCTCCTCTTTACAGCAAACTTACCTGAAACTGAAAAGAGAACACAAATTACCTTCGAGCTCCATCCGCCAACAGGCTCACCTCCTCAGAGGCAGCAGTGCCTGTGTTATCTTCAGTTTGGAGGAGGCTGTATTTTCGAGGAGTCAATTCTTGACTGTATCGTGATGGTGGATATTCCATTCCTCTGCCTGTACCACGAAACAGCTGAAAGTTTGATTGATGTTTAGGAAGTTCTGCGACCAATGATTTCTCTTTCATATAGCTTTTTACGATTGAATAATTGCACTTTTTTTGTTGTCTCTCTTTTCTCCTTGCTTTTTAAACCTCCTTTCTACTCTTGGTGCTGCTCCTGAAATATATCAGAGGAAATACTCTTTTAAAACTCCGCTCCACTAATGGAATTTGACCTTTACTGTAATTTTCTGAATTTACAACTATCATATTACTTCAGGCTATTTCCCAGCAACTTCTTTCCTACCTGCTGTTATCCGTAACTTGCAGGCACTGTGCTTTCACTGGTAATCTCTTCCTTTTGCCCACTTAATTGAAAGTCACAATAAATGACCCCATGCACTAGTATCAAAGTGTGGAAATCTCTAGGATCCTCTCTCAACAGACCTTTTCAGCTGCAGATTCAGTCTTCTCTTTCCATTCCCTGACATTATCTTGAGTGACATCTACATCCAGACAATGCCCCTTTGAAATATTAATACCAGGCATCTTCCTCAGACTGCTTCATCTGCCAGACTATAGAACTACATACCAACCTCACTAGCAGTCGAACATATTCCATCTCCAAGATACACAATTCTAAAATTCACCTTTCTGGCCACGGTTATTTTCCCCACCATCTCTCCCAACCTGCTCTCCACCAGCCTTTGAGTTTCCAGGCTTCTAATCCCTCTCCTTGTCCCCAGTTTATCCCTCATTCTGGCTTCACACTGTGTTCTGCTGTTTCAAAAATATATCTCCTACCTTGTCAGAAATTATTTCCTTAACCTCATACAACCCTACTTTGCTAAGACTCAAATTTAGTAAGAAACCAATCTGCTTTCTCCTTCCTCTGCCCCTGCGAGCCAGAATGGGGAAGGTCCTAAAGCCATAGTTGCTTAGCCCCAAGCAGTAGGGTTTCCAGTCTTGGGCAATGCTTTATATGTCCCTATGTATCTCTCTCTCTCTCTCTCTCTCTCTTTCTTACACACACACACAGAGTATATGGATGCTTTGTCGCTTAATATTCAGTGCTCAGTGCTGGTAAACAGAACCCATAAACCCTAAACCCTAAATAGCCACTCTCTTGGCTAATATCTTTCGTGCTTCATAGAAATCTGTCAATATCTTTTGCCTACAAAACAAAAGATGACTGTGAATGTCCTGAAGGTGTGTGAGTAGGTGCCATGAGTATCTAGTGTACACTGGGTCCTTCCAACTCCATGTTCATAGACATCTGCTCTACACTACTTTATCTAATATGGCTCACAGGTGACTAATTTATCTATGCTTAACACATCTTACAAGTCTTATCCGACCTATTTGTTTCGTCTTCTATGTCTGAATATTCTTAAACTATGTAATAAATGCACATTACATAGCTAAAAATCCGTATCTTTGTTCTTCTATTTAAAGAATCTCCCCGATTATTTATTTATTAATCCAGATCAATTTTAGAATCATTTCACCAAGTTCATCAAGTTATATTGGATCATCCCACTTAAGCGCAAGATATTTAAATGTTCAATATTCCTATGCTAGGACCTGAAAAAAATGAGAGACTTTTTCTGTCTAGGAAAAGCCATAGTTTAAGTTTTATTCATTCATTGAGTTAATGCAGATTTATTGAGAACCTACTATATTCCGAGCACTGTTCCGGGTGCTGGTAATACAACAATGGGGAAAAATAGCCAATAAAAACCTGCTGCCATGGACGTTACCATTCTAGTGCAGTAGACAAATAACAGAAAATATGTAAAACTTACACTGTGTTATCTGGTGACACGTACTGTGGGGAAAGATTTAAAAAAAAAAAAAAGAAGGTAGGGAGTGTGAGTGTAAAAGACACTCTATTAGGTAGGGCGGCCAACGAAAGCATCAAAAGAAGGTGACATGTGAGTAGGAGCCTTTAATTAGTGAGGGAATGAGCCTTTCATATACCGGCAAGCTTCTGGGCAGAGGGAACTGCCAGCACAAAGGCCCTGAGGCAGGAGGGAGTTTGAGAAAGCCACAGAGGCATGAAGAGAGATGAGGCTCCAGTACAGACCAGGAGGCTGATAAGAACAAAGAGGCTAATGAGCCGGTGAGAGCAGGATGGCCTTGGAGAGCAGAGAGAGGTTGTTAACTTTTGCTCTGAGTGAGCTGGGAAGCCTTTGGAGCATTTTGAGCCAAGGAGTGACACTTGCATTGGAGTCTCTCAGTTTATGGGTGCAATGTATTAAAACCTCCAACTATTACTGTGGATATGTCCATTTCTACTTACATTGTTGTTAATTTTTGCTTTATATATTTGAATCT